TATTCAGAGAGAGGAGCTTGTGTGGGTGAGGCCCACGTGACGGGTGCCAGGCGGAGGCTGGGCCGAGATGCCAGTGGGAGGTGCAGAGCCTCCTGCCCAGATGCAAACCAGTCAGCGAAGCAAGCCTTTAATCCACTTCACCCCAGGCCACCTGCGTGAGACAGGCTGCGTGGTGGGCGATGACTGTCCCTAGTGTGTGCCGGACCAGGCCCCTTCTCTGTCCACTCTAGTCTTGGGGCGCCAGGAGTAATAGCAAATACTCCTTTGCCACAACTTTATAGTGTCTTTCTGTGACATCTCTCCATTTCTGCACATCTAGAAGCCAGTGGGGTGTTTTAGAAGACTGGCAGCCAGCCCCCCCTCCTACCTCTGGACGGGACATTCCCCATGGGCTGGGTCAAGGGCTGGGATGGGGAGAGGGACCACACTGGTGCCAAGTCCAGCTGGGGCATCTGACCCCAAATTCCTGGTGGGCCTGTCTCTTTAAATGAGACACTGGAAAGAAGTTTATGATTCTGTCCTCCCAGCCCAGACTGCTATTGAGAGAGTTGTGTTTTTAAAGCCTCACAGCCAGACTTGGAATGAAGAGAGTCATTGCTTAGCGACTCCCCTACCCAGAGCACAGCGCCTGGAGTATAAAGGACTGCCGTAATGTAATAATAGAGTTCCATCTTGGGCTGCCTGGGCTTGCTGAAGCTCTGGCTCAGCTCTGCTGGGAACAGCAGGCTTGGCGAGGGAAAGGTGGTTCTGCACCCTGGGGGTAGGGGGACCTCAAGGCCAAGGACAGGAGGCTTGGTGGAGGGAACCATAGATGGGGCCTCAGGAGTCCAGGGAAGGCCTAATCTTTGAATGGGGGCTACTCACAGACTCACCCTCCTGCAGAGGCTTCTAGGCTGGTTCCAAAGGCTCTGTCCATGGTAATAGCGTTTCCCCAGCCCCCTTTAATAAGCTGGGAAGTGAGGATTAAGAGCTCTGAGTAGCTGAGCTTGGTGCTGAATTTCTCAGGGCCTGGGCTGGTTGCCTGGTGGCACCGGGGACTCTCCAACTGGCTCCCCATCGCTCTCTCTCCCCTATCCTTTATGGCCTTTGCTGGCTCTTCCCCCAACCAGCGTCACTTTTCTCGTGCTCAGAGAACAGAAGTAGAAGCAGGGGGACAGCAAGCAGGCTGGAGGGACCAACCCGGGACCCAAGGCCTGCCCCAGCCACCGTGCGTTCTGGTTTTCTGCTGGGTGGTGGCCAAGCTGACCCCTTTGAGCCCCCCTCTGTCACGTGGGACTGTCCAGAGGCAGCACTGTGACTCCTCTTGGAGGGACAGTGGCTTTGACTTGATTTTTCCCCCCTAGTGGTGATGATAGATTGTACTGTGTCGCCCATACCCTGGGACCCTTTGCCTATTGTGAATGTGGCACTCACTTCTGAGATGGTGACAAGGAGAAGGGTGGGGATAAGGTGAAACACATGGCGGGGAGGCTGTGTGCCCACTCTGGGCTTCCAACTGCTGCCGGCTGCACCAGTGGGCCGTAGGTGCTTCACGTCAGTATAATTCTCCCCAAAAAGAAGAACAGAAAGACAATTCATGGTTCCCACTTCTAGAAACCAAGAGTTTAAAATGAGAAAAACAGAAAAAAAAATGCTGGTTACCCAATGATATTCTAAATTTGTAAATGACAAATTAGTGTAACTCTCCAAAAAACGTGTGTCCATTTTGCTAATGTAGATCAATGAATGCCTAGTATTTCTTGGATAAAATAGCAATGTGACCCGTGGTGTGTCCCCAAGCCCCTCACTGTCCTCAGATGCACACCTATATGTAGCACTTCCCTAGGTCCAAAACGTGGGAAGGGCCACTGAGGAACATGAAGATTTTTCTCCTTTGTCCATCCTGGCAAGGTTGTGTCCCACCTCTCCAGATCTGGCGACCTTGAATTTGGCTTTGGGAGCAAGGAGGGGGCTGCTGATACCGGCAGAGGACTTTCTCTCAGGGCAGCCGGATGTGCTGGGGTCAGAGCTCCCAGGCGACCAGCCTCAGCACGGGTTCCTGGCTGCCTCTGACAAGCTGCCTGCTGCCTGCGTTTCTGCCCATGTTAGTTAGGGCGGGGCCCGCTGCTTCCGCACGCAAATCCACCAGCTCAGAGCCTTGTCCTTGTCATGGCTTATTTCTTGTCTGATGTGGCTGTCCCTGGTCGGTGACTGGGCCCTTCTCTCTTGAGGCTTCACCATCCCATAAGCCTCAGAATCCTCTTTATCCAGCAGGTGAAAGGGTCCGTAGACAAGACACACCTAACTTCTCACCTGTTTTGGTGTGGAAGAGTCACTGTGATGCTCTCTCTCTATGCGCATGGTCACACCTGGACACCGGGTGGAAATGTAGACCATGGTTAGTGGCCACTTCCTGTGGACAGCTTTGCACCTGCCGCTGCACAGATGGGGAAGCACATACTTTTGGTGGAAAGCGAGCTGCCTGTCCTGCACGAAAGATGAAATCCCCCATAATGCAGCACGGTAGGGAAGACTGGGAAACGACGAGCCTTCCGATTTCCAGGAGGGGCTGGGAGGTGGGACTCTGCAGAGCGTTCCAGTGACTGGAGATGGCCTTGGAGGGGCACAGCTGGAGGGTCCTCTAGGGGACTTCCAACTCCTGGAGGACAGGGCTAATGTTTTCTGCTTTGGAGTGTGTGTACCCTTTACACCCACCTCCACATTTGGCCAAATGAATGGATGCACGCTGACTTCGACCAACTGTCTTTTGTATTGTCTACGTTCTCCTCGCTGCTGTTTTGTCTCCAGGCCCAGCTCCTTCTCCTCAACAGGTCTGCACTGACTTTCTGGGCTGAGTTGTGTGCTGGTTCTCAGAGTCTAACTTGTGGATGCAAGGTGACTTATTATATGAGATTCCAGCTGGTAGACCAGCTGCTCTCACTGTAAACCATGTTTGAAAGAGGATGCATTTGAAATTATGCTTTAAATGGACAAAATTGAGTATTTTAAATACTTACAAGCCCTGGATTAGAGCAGATAAAACTAACGTTGGAGTTTGGTCCCTTTTTGAGCTAAGCAGCCCAGAACCAAGATTTACTTTGTACTTTAGCTAGGTGATCCCAGCTGCCATCTCTGCTGTAGAGGAGTCATTCATTCATTCACTCATTCATTTACTCACTCCTTGTTCATTCATTTACTCACTCCTTGTTCATTCATTTATACATTTATTCATCCACTTATTCCTGTGTTCCCGAACATTTACTACATACCTCTTATGTATCAGACTCTGGCTTGGGAGTAAAGAGAATACTGGTGAAAAAATATATAATTTCTGACCTCTAGGAGCTTATATTTTTAGAGAGAGGACAGCATCAATGTGCAAATAAAACAGAGTTTGTAAAATGTGAGACTCTGGTGGGACCAAGGTCCTGTACCAACACATAGTAGGGCAATCCTAGACCACCGCCAGGGTTGGAGTCCTCTTCTGAAGACTGAGTCCCCAGGTGAGGGGGTTGGGGGGTAAACCACCTGTGCAGAAGACACAGAAGCATGAATGGGTGGAAAACATCTCAACAGACCTGCCAGCACAGCCCTCAAGGCAAATTCCAGGCAGACAGGGGAACCTTGTGTTTGATTGGGAAGGCGGGACACACACCCAGCACTCACCTGCAATAAAGCCTCACTATTTGCAAAATTCTCATTTGTCTCTGTGAGCTGTGGGACATGGAAATCTGTTTGGCGTGCTCACTTCTTCCTATGAAAGAATAATCTATTAGAGAGGGTGTGATGAGAGATGCTACTCTTTTGGCTGGAAGGCTGAATTTTTATGGGTTAGGATTCGTTCATTAACAAGTGCCAGAAAACTGAATCCACACAGGCTTATGAAATGGGAGAAAACTTGGCTCATATAACTGGAAAGAGTAAGCACAGAGCTGGCTTCAGGGCATATGATCTAGACAGCTCTGTGATGTCATCAGGCCTGGGACCTGGTGCGCTCCACCCTCTGGCTCAGCTTGGCTGTCCTCTGTAGGCTGACTTCATTCCTTTCAGTTTTCCGCTCCTCACCTTCCACCCACATAGGTACAAGATGGCACCTATATTTCTTAGCCTCACACACCTCCAAGGTCACATCTGATGCAAGAGCTAGAACTTTTACCTCGGCAGTCTTATTGCCTCACAGAGATTCTGATCTATTCAAGGGCTTGTCCCTGAACCAATCACTGTGACTGCCCAGCCCCTTGCTCTGTGCTGATTGGTGCGGGCCCAGGTCATGTGTACACTCTTGAACAAGGCGGGGAGTTAATAAGAGCCTTTGGGCTGAGAGAGGGTGAAGGGGTGGATCTCCAGAGGATAAATGTGTGGTAGCCAAAAATAATAGCTGTCCACTGTTTCTAACAATGTCTTTTAAATAACTTTTTTAATCACAAAAAATATTAGTCAGGCTTCTCCAGAGAAACAGAATTGGGTCACACAATTAGGGAGGCTCCAAGTCCCAAATCTGCAGGGTGGACCCGTGGACGGAGACTTGGAGGAGAGCTCATGTTGCAGTTCAAGTCCAAAGGCTGTCCATCTGGCCCAATCCCCTCTTGCTCAGGGGAGGTCAGTGTTTTGTTCTGTTCAATCTTTAACTCACTGGATGGCCTCTCACTCCCATCATAGTTGGGGTTGGGGGAGTCTGCTTCACTCAGTGCCCACCAATTCAAATGTTAATCCCGTTCAAAAATATTCTCACAGAGATATCCAGAATGATGTTTGACCACATGTCTGCGCACCCAGGCTCAGTTAAGTTGACACATAAAATTAACCGTCACAATGACCAACAGAAAGAAATACCCGGACATGACACTCAATATGTCCATATATGTGGCTGACACAAAAGTCTCACTGAATTGTTCTTTTCCTAAATGGCTCATGCTCTGATTTTTCTCTTCTATTTTATTTAAGAAGCATGTGTGGCCCACTCGGCTGGTTTCTGGACTCGTGATGGGTTGTAGAGACGGTTTTTTGAAACATCATCTTAGAAGACTATACTTTCAGGGATCATTTCTATAGTTCACTACTAGAGAAGTGTCTCTGAACGTGCAGAGCACCCGAAACCACGAGGAGGAGGCGCAGTGTTCTCTCCTGAGCGTGAAGCCGGCTTTTGGTGGTGTTTTGCAACTGCCAATAGCCACTGGTGATCGTTCTTATCTTCCTTTGGAAGAGGAAGAGGGAAAGAATGCAGTCTGAGTGGTAAAAAAAAAAAAAAGAAACCTCATCTCGAATATGTTTTTCTGAGCGTTCTTTTATGCCAATAGCAAATGCCTGAGCGTTAGCACTTTGGAGGGTCAGAGAAGGCGCAGTGGGCAACTGAAGGAGACCTGAGAGCTTTCCGAGGCCCAGCGTCATCGGGTGTGATCTCAGCCAGAACTCGTGCCCGCTCGTGGCTCAGTTTCCCCATCTGTAAAGGAGGTGTACTTATGGGTACCTCTTCAACCTACACCTGTTGCGAACAATAAAATCAGATTGAGGTAATGTGGAAACACCTTGTAAACTCCAAAGTAATTTTGTGAGGTAATTGCTATTTTAAAATACTCTATAATCTTCTTCTCTGCCACTCAGGAATCTGAGAGTATGGTGCTGTTTCATGAAAATTAGTTTGAGCTCTTCAAAACTTGCCACATAAAACAAAGACAGTCCCAATTTCTTTAATCAAAATGATGATCAGCTGCTAAAAATGAGTCCTGTCTCCCCTGAGATCGCTCAGAATTAAAATCTGATTTCAAAGAAGGGAAAATTGCAGTGTGTTTGGGTGTGATGCAGAGCCAGGCTCTGCTGCCTGCCCACCCCTTTCCCACCCGGCCTGGCTCGGCGAGTCCTTCGGGGCAACCTGGAGTTGGCTTGGCCACATCGCTTGTCTTTAAGAACCAGAGTGAGTCTGAATGCTCCCTCTAATACTTTGTTATAAAACCAGCTAATTGATGACCCCAAAGAGAATTGGGGGGTTGGGTTGAGGGTTTCCTAGTTTGGGTCACCATTTGTGATGACTGATGTTTGGAATGGCAGCCACGCTGGAAGCCCCAGCTTTGCTGGAATGGAGCAGCTTCAGGCAGCCTGGGGTGGGGGGCAGGGGACTGGAGCTGGGGTAGGAGGGCTGCTTGCAGGTTGGGTCACCTCTGTGGTGCCCAGTGGAGACTCTGGTGAGGCAGGCTGGAGCCCACAGCCTCGCTCGTTCCCTTCTCTTCTATTTCTGTTATTTGTTTTCCAATCAGCCCCTTCGTGGTGTATAAAATGAGAGGCTGGTTATTCCTATCACACATTATTGTTTTCTGTGGATCCCCCCCAACCCTCTCCAGGCGCAGTAATTTCAGCATCCTCAGATGAGGGTGATAAGTGTTTGAGATGCGTAACTGTGTCTCATTTCATTGCCTGATAGAAGATGGAGAATGAGCTCTGGCACCTTTCTGCTCAGTAAATTCATAATTACAGGCTTCCTCGTCTCGCCTCTCGCAAACTAGAGAACTGTTGATTGGCTCGTGGGCCTGGGAGCATGTACAGTAAGGAGGGGGTGTGGCAGGCACGCTTTCTCTAGTGCTTGGCAGTTTCCGACAGACACAGGGACAGCTGAGAGTTCCCTCCCGAGGGCTGGCGTCTGAGCCCTGACCTGCATCTGACCCAGACCTGGAATGCGGGTTACCAGCCCTGCTGGAATTTGGTTGTTGGCAGTGATGTTCTGAGAGCTGTGTTCGCCAGCAGAGCAGATGGCACCCAAAGGCCAGGCTCCTCCAGATAAAGGCCAGGGAGCAGATGCTGAAGTGGGCTCACTGGAAAGGCTGTGGGGAGTGGAAAGAGCACTGGACTGGGAGTACTGGACAGGGATCTGAGCTTAATCCCACCCTCACCTTGAAGTTACTATGAGACCTGCTGCAAGTCACTAATTTCTCTGGATCTCGACTTCCTGGTCTCTAAAATCAGGAATCGGGGTCATTAAACTGGTTTATCTCTTTCAGATTACAAACTTCTAGATTCTTTTCTGATACTCAGATTTGCATGGGCAATTCAAGATGAGCCATCCCAACCTCCTCAGCTCTAAGGGACGTGGTACCTGATGGCATCATAATCCTTAGTCTTTAATCTTATTTCAATCTCTCCAACAACAATTATCACTTATTAAGCACTTATGTGTACCAGGTGCTTTCCAGTCATTAATGCTCTTAGAGGTAGACAGCAGTGCCCACCGGATGGGTGTTACCTGCCAGGTTGCCCTGCGGGCCCAGGGGCTTTGCTTTTCACCTCCAGAGCTGTCAGGGAGGTACTGCTGGGTGAGGTCCTGGATTTCTCAATTTGGGGACTTGCAGGAATTAAAAAGGGCTTCCAAGTGCTATGTCTTCTGGGCTTGGGAATTGCACGTTGCTAGAGAGAATACGGGTTTTCCAGTGATACAAACCTGAGTTTCGATCCCACCTCTGTCACTTAGTAGCCACGTGCCTTTGCACAACTAACATTTCCTCACCTGAGAAGCTGGTAAAACAGTCTTGGCCCCAGTGAACAGTTGTGATGATTAGGTGAGGTAATCCACGTGCCAGCCTTCGTATGGGGCCTGGGGAATGGGACAGGGCCCACAGAGAGTGATATTCCTCCTTGCTGCCAGCCTCGGTTTCTGCCAATCAGAAAGTAGATCTTGACCTTCCACAGTGTGCCAGGCACTGGTCTGGGGCTATGGACACACTGGTGAGCAAAGCAGGCCCTCCCTGCCTGCAGTTCTCAGCCCCAAACTCAGTCCCTTCTGCAAAGACTCAATGGAGAGGAATGTGGAGTCTCCTTTCTGGGGGCCTTTGCTCTTTCCTTTACGTTTCTTTCCTTAATACCATGCCTTTCGGTCTCAGCCCTGCAGGGACATCCTGACGCCACTGGTGGTTCTCTCTTTTCAGCCCTCTCTTCTCTCCGACTCTCAGGAAGTATGCCCTCCAGACTCTTCCTGGTATATAGCCGGTTTGATAGGCCCAGAATTTTGCTACACTGACCCCTCCCCATGGAGGCCTTTCCCTTCCAGCTCCGCATGTCCCCTCCAAGTTCATGGCTCGGCCCAAATGCCATCCCCTCCCCAAGGCTTCCTACACCCTGCTCCACGCTCCCCCACCCCAACTGACTTACTTCTTGCAAACTCCCAAAGCACTCCATGGTTTAGCACACAGCTTTTCACCGTCTGAGTAATTTCGGTCCTTGTGGTGTGTGTCTGATTCAGCCCCAGGCGTCCTTGGATTCCACGGTGTCCAGCACATCTCACGTGCGGCCTGAGGAAACATTTTCCACGTGAGGAGACTGAATGAAGGCCCTCAGCGTGCAAGGCTGCTGTCGGTTGTGGGGTCTGCCCTCCGCCTCCTCCAATCCTTTCCTGAGAAGACCTGTGTTTTCACTGGGATTTGAGCTAACAATGTCAAATCTGTTTTCTTCTTTCTTCTCTTGGTTTCCATCTAACTTTGTGCTCTTTCCCTGCTGGAGGGTTTTTCTGTTGCTCAACAGTTACTTCTTCCTGTTACCTTGTTTTGACATACTTGGGTGTAAACGAGAGAAATTCCACAAAGCTGAGACACTCCCAAATAAGAGGGAGGCCATTCCTGCCTTGATTTCCACGCAGCTGGAGGGAGTGTGAAACCATCTTCTGGCATCCCATGCAGAAAGCATAGGATAGGAATTAATGAGAACACTAGGACAGAACGCTACTTTGCTTAATGGGGAGTTATTTGTTTATTTCTCTCCCTGGCCACTTCTTTAAAAAGTTCACTCCCATCAATGAAAACCTCTCCAAGGAGGCCCCGCGCTGGGAGGCAGCCAAGATCTTCCCCATTGAAAGGATATCGGGTCTCAGAGGCGAGCAGTGTATCCAGAGGACCCGGCTGCTGCCTCAGTGAGCAGGCACTGAGGATGTGGGTTTCTGATTTGGGCTCGTGCATCATCCACCCAGCAGGAGGGATGGGGGAGGGACAAAGGGGAAGCTTCCCCTGTAGTAGGTGCAGACTCTGAGGGCCTGGCAGTAATGGACAGCCCCCGAGAAGTGGTTGTTTGGAGTATTCTGCTGTGTGTAAACAGTAACCAGGGTACATCCCCATCCATGCCTGGCTGGCCTAAGATGGTTCGGTAGTTAAGAATGAGAACCTGCCATGGGCTTGGGTAGCCAGGTTTGAATCCACCTCTACCACTTCCAGCTGTGCAAGTTCCAGAACTCCCCTAAGCTGTAAAGCAGGGGTAACAGTACTACTAACTTCACAGGTCTACGAGCCAGGGTCCCAGCAAGAAACAGTATACACAAACTCACTCACCTGCACAAAGGTTAATACAGAAGCTCTTGGGAAACATGTAGCTCCTTAAGAGGCAGAGTAGTATTTAGGAATAGAAACAGTGAGGCCCTGTTTGCTCCTCTAGGACCAAATCAGGGTGAGCAGGGTGATGGAGACAGAGAGGCCAGGTGGAGAGGCCTGATTAGGGCTCTGCTCGACCTGTAGACAAAGGTCAGAGTCATGCATGCAGCCCACCTCTGCTTCTGCTGTCTCTCCCTCCCCCTTCCTCCAGCTTTTTGCTGATACTCTTCCCTGGCTGCACCTAACTAGGCCTGAGGGCAAGGAGTCAATGGATGTACCTGTACATAAGTCAGCTTCCTGAGTGCAGACTAGGGTGGAGAGTGGAGTTGGAGGGGCAGATGGAAGAGCCCAGCAGTGAGAGCTTTGTTAAGTTGAAGTTCAAGATTAGATTAAGATTTGTCCCTGGAAGCTTCAGGACAGCTTCTGACACAACTGGGCACTCGAGAGGTGGCTGTTATTGCCATCATCAGCATCATCACTATTATCATTATTGCCATCACTATTGTTTCTACTATTATTATTACTGAAATGTCCTCCTGTGGCTGCTGCCACCAGCTCGGGCTGTGCCACAAACCCACGGTGATCACGTCCCTTGGCCTCTAGCTCCCCCCACACAGTTCTCTGTTTCGGCTGAGTAACTTTGAGGACCCCCCAGGCAAGCTATGGGGTGAAGCTAAACCCTTGCCATTGTCACCCACCATCATATCTTTTTTTCCCCCCATAGGGACCCTCCACTCCTGAGTCCTGGCCCTCCCAGGAAGACGCTTTGTCAGTGCTACTGTGCCACGAGGACCCGTGTCTGAAATGAAAGCCATGCCCTGGAACTGGACTTGCCTGCTGTCCCATCTCCTGATGGTAGGGATGGGCTCCTCCACTCTGCTCCCCCGGCAGCCACCCCCGCCGCCCCAGAAGCGGTCTTTTGTCACATTTCGAGGGGAGCCAGCGGAGAGCTTCAACCACCTGGTGGTGGACAAGAGGACAGGGCACATTTACTTGGGGGCTGTCAACCGGATCTACAAGCTGTCCAGCGACCTAAAGGTCTTGGTGACCCACCAGACAGGGCCGGATGAGGACAACCCCAATTGCTACCCGCCCCGCATCGTCCAGACGTGCAACGAGCCCCTGACCTCCACCAACAACGTCAACAAGATGCTCCTGATAGACTACAAGGAGAACAGGCTGATCGCCTGCGGGAGCCTCTACCAGGGCATCTGCAAGCTCCTGAGGCTGGAGGACCTCTTCAAGCTGGGGGAGCCTTTCCACAAGAAGGAGCACTACCTGTCGGGAGTCAACGAGAGCGGCTCTGTCTTTGGAGTGATCGTGTCCTACAGCAACCTGGACGACAAGCTCTTCATTGCCACGGCCGTGGACGGGAAGCCAGAGTACTTCCCCACCATATCCAGCCGGAAGCTGACCAAGAACTCAGAGGCGGACGGCATGTTCGCGTACGTCTTCCACGATGAGTTTGTGGCCTCGATGATTAAGATCCCTTCGGACACCTTCACCGTCATCCCCGACTTTGACATCTACTATGTCTATGGCTTCAGCAGTGGCAACTTTGTCTACTTTTTGACCCTTCAGCCAGAGATGGTTTCTCCCCCAGGCTCCACCACCAAGGAACAGGTTTACACATCCAAGCTCGTGAGGCTTTGCAAGGAGGACACCGCCTTCAACTCCTACGTGGAGGTGCCCATCGGCTGTGAGCACAATGCGGTGGAGTACCGCTTGCTGCAGGCGGCCTACCTGTCCAAAGCCGGGGCCGTGCTCGCCCAGACCCTCAAAGTCCGTCCAGAGGACGACCTCCTCTTCGCTCTCTTCTCCAAGGGCCAGAAGCGGAAAATGAAATCCCTGGATGAGTCGGCCCTATGCATCTTTATCTTGAAGCAGATCAACGACCGCATTAAGGAGCGGCTGCAGTCCTGCTACCGGGGTGAGGGCACGCTGGACCTGGCCTGGCTCAAGGTGAAGGACATCCCCTGCAGCAGCGCGGTGAGTCAGGGGAGGGCCCGTGGGCTGGGACGACACGGTGTGGAGGGAGGACCCTAGCCTGTGGCCTCTGAGGGCTGTGAATCGCCCATGCCATTTTGCAGATGGGACACGTATATCCCACATCTGGGTCTCCCTGGACGCAGACCATCACCAGCTCAAACAGGTGTGACTATGCAGCTGAGCTTGTAAGAGTCACAACCAGAGCTAAAATGTAGATTTCCTACCAGGGCACTTTTCTCTGTGGTGTATCGGCTTGCTGGTTATACACAGGGTGGAGGGAGTGCTAGGAATAGGCGGGAATCAAGCTGCTTACATGTCACATGCACGAGGCATTGCTGGGGGCCAGTTAGCATGGGCTGTAGGCCTCTTACCAACCACACCTGGGAATCCCTTGCCTGGGAACTTAGACTAAAACCATTACTGGGAGCAATGGTGTCAGTCATTCTGCATTGAGACAGATGTGGAATTTCAGGAGACTTATGTTTTCAGCCCCCTGGTGCATCTTTAGGAAATGGAGCGGTGAGAGCAGAGAAGGAGGGTGAGAGTCCAGCAAACATAGAGGGGAAAGCAGAACTTGCTTAGAAAACTATATATATTTTTTATTTTTTTCTTGAATTTTTAAAAATATATTTTATTGATGGTGCTATTATAGTTGTTCCATTTTTTTCTCCCCTTTATTCCCCTCCACCCTGTACCCCCCTCCCACCAGCATTTCCCCATCTTAGCTCATGTCTGTGGGTCGTAAATATATGTTCTTTGGCCTCTCCATCCCCTATACTATTCTTACCCTCCCCCTGACTCTTTTGTACCTACCGTTTGTGTTTCTTATTCCCTGTACCTTTTCCCCCATTCTCTCCCCTCCCCCCACCACTGATAACCCTCCAAGTAATCTCCATTTCTGTGATTCTGTGCCTGTTCTAGTTTTTGCTTAGTTTGTTATGGTTTTTGTTTTAAGTTCGGTTGTTGATAGTTATGAGTTTATTGTCATTTTACTGTTTGTATTAATTGTCTTCTGTGTGCATCGCTCCACAGAAGGGACGTCACAATGTCAGGAGGCTGCCAGGAGGAGTTCTGGGTGACAGGAATGCCGAAGGAAGTGGGAGGAAGGGTTGGTTTCCGTGGCCGTCCCAGGGCCCGTGGGCCCTGAGGGTCAGACAGGACCTCAGGCTGCCGTCCTGCTGGGTGGTCACAGCTGCAACTGGGGACCCAGCCTAACTCACGTGTGACCAAACGTGAGAAGCATCTGCCTCTCTGTGGCTTGACTTCTGTTCGCCTTTACAATGGTCAACTTTTCCCCAAATCATTCTTTTTTTTTTTAAAGATTTTATTTATTTATTTTTAGAGAGGGAAGGGAGGGAAAGAGAGAGAGAGAAACATTAATGTGTGGTTGCTGGGGGCCATGGCCTGCAACCCAGGCATGAGCCCTAACTGGGAATCGAACCTGTGACATTTTGGTTCACAGCCCGAGCTCAATTCACTGAGCTACGCCAGCCAGGGCTCCCCAAATCATTCTTCAACGGACTTGGAAGGCTCAGTTCTTGGTATCTCCTGTGCCCCATGTTACACTCTCCTCTTCCTTTTTGTTGTCCAGTCAAAACGTTCTGAACCTAGTCGGAGAACATCTATCCTGTAATCTTCAAGGGGCAGGGAAAGTTGCCCTTCAGGTGGAAGTGTGCACTTGCATGGATGTGATTCCTGACACCTAGTCAAACTCTGGTGGATTTCCATATTAGGAAATGTATTTGGTTGATTTAAAAAGTGTAAATTTCCCTTCATGAAGTATGACCACCTGCCAGGCCGATTCCAGAGGGCACTGGCACACACACCACCCAGCAAATGGTGAGGCCACCTCTCCTGTCACTGGGATTTGGGGTGGGAGCAGAGAAGAGGTGGGAGAAAGGAGGGACTCAGCAAAGTGTCTTGGGGACCCTAACATTTAGGCTCAGTATGCTTTCCAGTGGTGAGCTGTCCAGGCACCAGGGCTGAAACTAAAAGACAACATTCCTCCTAGGAGGCCCTGGAAAACGGGGAGACCCCTAGAGTCACAAAGGAAATGGGAGAGGTACTATGGGCCAAAAAAGTCAGCGACAAGTGACAGTGACTGCAGGCCAGAGAATGGAGGGGACTCTCCTGTGTCTGATGAGCCCTAGCAGGTGACATCGCCTTTAGAGTCTTTGGTTTGGGGCAGTAGCTGACCCACTCAGGAGAGTCTGTGAAACAGACTTACAAACCTGGGGCCGTGGGCTGACCCCGGAGAAGGTGGTGAATGGCAGTGCAGGTGCTGTGCTGTGTGCAGGTGCGTTACACACTCAGACATCGTCCCCGGGAGATGCATGAGAATGTTGATGGCCCTTAGAGATCCTCCAGTGTAAACTCATTCCACAGCCCGACCCAGTGAGCGAATTGTCCAAGGTCATACATCTTACGAGTGAATGGCAGATACAGCCTCGAGAATAACCCCCTTTCCTCTCTTATCACCACATTTGCACACACTGTATAGACACATATGAACCCATGTGCATGCATATACATGATAAATACCCTCGTGAGCATGTACACCTATACCCTAGGTTAGAAGATGGGAAGTTCACCCTGGGTGCTCACTAAGTAACTAGTTCCTTTGAGGTCAGAGAGGTTGGCTATTTTTCCTGTAGACACTTCTGCAGAGAACTTGCTCTAACCCTGTCTTTTGGGGAGTGACATCAGCTGCAGGGATCAGGCTCGCCGCCCATGGGCAGGAGGTTGCCCCACCCTTGCCCCCTGCCACAGCACAGAAAGTCAAGTCCATCACGGATGTCTGCAGAGCCGCGGGTTCTAACACTGCACGGTGGCCTTGGAGAGAACAGAGGGAAACAGCTTCGCAAGACAGGCTAATGCCAGGACTGGAGTAATGGAGCCAGATAACAAGCTTTTGATTTTTTTTTCTTTTGGCTTTAATTAGCCCTTTCAAGTTAGAGGCAAGTTCAGGGCTGAGAGGAGACAGGAGGAGGCCAGAAACTGCGCGCAGGACTGGGGCTGTCTCCCTAGCCAGTCTGAAAGGCCACACCACCAGCTTTTAATGCGCAGGATCAGTTGCCTTTGATTTGGCCGATCCTTGAGGCACTTTGCTCCGGAGCTTCGGCTGCGATTCATTCGGCCTCCGCTTAGACCACATGTGTTTCCTACGCCATCGGCCAGGCCAGGCTCCGGAGCATCCCCTCCGAGGGACCCTTGTCGGCACTCTGTTGGCAAACACAGCTTTCTCTCCACCTTCCCCCATGGCTGCTGCTGGGTTCCTTTCTTTTTCCCTTCCTGCCTCCAGGCAGAGATGGACAGATGAACTCTTGGGTTCTCTTTGTCTCCGAGTCCAAGATCCCCTCGAGGCCTGCGAAGTGGAACCCAGTCTCGGGTGGTCTCTGTCCTGCAGGTAGAAATTCGGCCTGGGAGGTTGACTTTTAGGACTTGTGTTTTGCAGGGTAGAGTTCCCCTATGGGTTTTATATGGTCACAACTCCAAGAGCCTGAAAACGGGGTCTGATGAGTGGTTGATTTTTATCGTGCTCCTGTTGCTCAAGTTCCCCAAGCTACACTGTGTATCCCGTGGTGTGCTTGGGGCCTTTCCGGTCCCTTCCGTTTCCTAGGAACACATTCTTTACCCTGAAATCATGCCTCCGAAACTCAGAGCCTGGAGCAGTGTACGCCCTGGGGCCCCTGACCCCTCGCTAAGTCCCTCAGTGCCCCTGACTGTGTTCTGGGAGCATGGGGGAGGGGGAGAGAATACTTGTGTGACATGGCCTGCCACGCCATGGGGCATCGCTCGAGCAGCGTCGTGTGCCCAGGCCCAGAGAAGCCGTGGACTGGGGGGCAGGAGCCTCAGTCTGCAGGCCCCCAACGGCTCCCTGTTCTTACTGCGGGTGCATCGGGGAAGTCTGGCTGAGCCCACGTCGCAGATGAGGGCCCGGCGCCAGTAGTGGCCTCCTCACGGGACTCTCACTGCGAGAGTCCATGCCTGCTGCCAAAGCAAATCCCTGAGTGGGTGTTGTGTGTAGAGGCTGGGGAAGCAGCCCTGTGTTTCCTGGCGCTTGTGCGGGGCAGAAGCAGCTTCTATCTTTGCCTCTGGGCCTTTCTTCTCCTGTGTCCTGGAGGGTTTTATTCAGCCTGACTGGAAAGAGGTGTCCAAGAGCAAATGGGGCAGCAACTGCAAATGGCTCTCAGGATCTCAGGAGGGCATGGGCAGAAGTGGGGTCCTAGTGGGGTCCACCAGGGGCCCCGTTTATCTCGGGATTCAGGGGACCACACACCAAGCTGAAGCCTTTTGCTGATGATCATCCAGGTGAATTAATGATGATGAATTTCTCTGGGGTGGCCTCTGCTTCTGGTCCCTTGGAAGGCTGCCGCACAGGCTCCCGGCACCTGTCTGCAGAGCACGTGACAGTTAGGGTGAGGAGCCCACACGCAGCCAGTCCCTTCTGTCATATGCCAGGGCCTATGCGGGCCCAGGTGACAGCTCCCAGGCCTTTCTTGGGAGCCCTGACACCCCTGGCCTGGCCCTGACACCTCCAGCCAGGCTGGAGAGCGCGCTGCCGCTGTGGGCCAAGGTTCTCGCGTTCTCCAGGCCCGTGCTCCGGCATCCCAGCGTCCCCCAGGCGGGGCTATCTATTTCCTCCTCAACCTTTTTTTAGCCTTCCGGAGTAAACTCACAGAAAACTAGCCCTTCTGTCTCCGAACGTATTAATGAATGGATGAAACATTTATTAGGCCTTTGACAATGTACTCAAACCTGGTGGATGCCAAGAATCATGAAATGACATCGGTCTCCAGGAGCCCGAGAGCCCAGGAGTGAGATGCACCCAGGCAGGTCATTATGGTCTGTGTGGTGGGAACAGTGGCTGTGGTCCCAGGGAGTGACAGTCACTCCCTCCACTCGAGTCTCCCCTGAGTTTGGAACCAATTGGCAAGTGGATGTAGGAGTCAGGCCTTGTCAGCTTCAGTGTGATAAGGCGAGATGATGCAAAAATCAGC